CATCAAGAAATTTCTCTAACACCCAAATATATGTCTCTACTATCTCGGAAGCTAACAGTGCACACCCAAAAACAGTCGTTTAAAAGTGGTTGCTCACACCTTGTAGTATCACAAAAGGTTTGTTGTACGCATTTGTCCGATACGTAGTATCAAACATCAACACATCACCAAAATACAGATAATCTGTTCGAGATCCACCATTAGTCCAAAACAAATTATTTAATCGATTTTCTTCATCTACATCATATTTATAATAAAACATTGAATCTTGCTCTTCTTTACCACATAAGTAAGCCAAAGCACCTTCTGCGTCACCATCGACAACTTGCGCTCTACGCTCAGTCCCAAAATGGTTGTACATGTCCTTCTGTATGAACCCAACATTCTCATAACCACCTGCTTGTTGTGCAACAAAGTCCATAATGTGACTTGTCCTCATACCAATATGATGCATTGCATTGCCTTGTGCCTTGTCGGCACTCGTAACATTCCGGTGTGAGCGAAGAAATTGAACACCAAGAGGCCCTATCATGGAATGATTGTGCTCCTTGAAAAATTCATTCACTTCATATTTGGAAGTACTCCGATTGTATTTGATACGAAAACAAGCACGACAACCAACTCTAGTTAATTGTTTTGGTTCTCTTTTACGTTCTTCAACCTCAAGGTATTTGGATTGTCTATATCCTACTTACTACTTTATTAAACTTGACTTATCAGTCATTTAAACAACACTTACTACTTAATAAGACTCTACTTATTATTTTATTAAACTTAACTCATTTAAACCACACTTATTACTCAATGAGACTGTACATACTACTTTATCAGAATCACACTTACTACTCAATGAAACTCTACTTACTACTTTATCAAACTTGACTTATCAGCCATTTAAACCACTCTTACTAGTCAATGAGACTGGACTTACTATTTCATCAGACTTGACTTACCACTCATTTGAATCACACTTACTACTCAATGACACTATCCTTGCTACTTTATCAGACTTGACTTACTACTCATTTAAGTCACACTTACTACTCAATAAGATTATACTTACTACTTTATCAAACTTGACTTATCACTCATTTAAACAATGCTTACTCAATGAGACTCTACTTACTGCTTTATTAGACTTGACTTATCAATCATTTAAACTAAATTTAAGACTACATTTACTATTTCATCAAACTTGATTTTTTTTTTTTTTTACCACTTGAATCTCATAATTTTTCTTTTAACTAACTGAAATATTATTCCAACAAAACATAAAAATTTATAAATTCAAAATATAATGGAAGTGAAAGTAAAAAGAGAGAGACTTACCTAAGGAGTTCCAAATCAACAACAATTCTATCTTAAAATCTCCGAAAGTTTTAGAAATGAACATCCTTGACTTATCAATCATTTAAATTAAACTCATGACTACATTTACTACTTCATCAAACTTGATTTTTTTTCCCCTTACTACTGGAATCTCATAATTTTTCTTTTAATTAGGTGAAATGTTGTTCCAACAAAACATAAAAATTTATAAATTCAAAATATAATGGAAGTGAAAGTAAAAAAGAGAGAGACTTACCTAAGGAGTTCTAAATCAACAACAATTTTATCTTAAAATCTTCGAAAGTGTTAGAAATGAACATCAAATTTTGTTTATGGAATCCTCAAATGAATTTGAAATTTTTCTATATTTTGTTAATCATATTTCTCATTAATTGCATTTATTGTGGTAGATGAAAAAGATACTAAGTTTCATTTATTGCCATTCATTGCCATTAAGTACATAAATAAATTAAAAAAAATCATATTCCATAAAATGTAAAAAATTATAATAAAATTTATAAATTTCATATTTATTTTGTATATATATATATATATTTTTGTTTACATTCTATTTTATAAATTTTATATTTATTTTAGAGGTTAGGTGCATTTTATTAATGTTTGAATGGTAAGTGTAGTTATGTGGAATAATTACAACTATATCAAGTAGTAAATGTGTTTTGTTGTTGTAATAAATTGAAAAACACTCATTTAAACCATACTTACTATTTTATCAGACTTACTTACCACTCATTTAAATCATATTTACCACTCAATGAGACTGTACTTATTACTTTATCAGACTTGACTTACTACTCATTTAAATAACACTTACTACTTAATGAGACTCTACTTACTACTTTATTAAACTTGACTCATCACTTAAACAACACTTACTACTCAGTTAGACTCTACTTACTACTTTATCAAACTTGACTCATCATTTAAACAATACTTACTACTCAATGGGACTCTACTTACTATTTTAGTAGACTTAATTAATTAATCATTTAAACTAAACTTAAGATTGCACTTACTATTTCATCAAACTTGATTTTTTTTTTTTTTTACTACTTAAATCTCATAATTTTTCTTTTAACTAGGTGAAATGTTGTTCCAACAGAATATTAAAATTTATAAATTCAAAATATCATGGAAAGTTAATGTAAAAAAAGAGGTAGAGACGATAGAGACATAGATTCTTACCTAAGGAGTTCCAAATTAACAACAATCTTATCTTTAAATCTTCAAATATTCAAAAATTTTAAAAATAAACATAAAATTTTGTTCATGGAACCCTCAAATAAATTATAATTTTTTTAAATATTTTATTACTTATATTTCTTCATTAATTGCATTTATTATTTTCAAGTGTGATAAATGAAAAGGAAATTAGGTTTCATTTATTCCTATTAAGTAGATAAATAAATAAAAAAAATCATATTTCATAAAATATAATAAATTATAATAAAATGTTTAGAATTCAAATTTATTTTGTAGATTTTTTTCTTAAATTCTCTTTTATAAATTTTATATTTATTTTAGAGATTTTGAAAATTTATTATAACTTAATTTTTTAAGTTTACCTGTTACTTGAATAGCATGTTAAGTGTATTTTATCAATAATTGAATGGTAAGTATAGTTATTAATAATAGTAAGTATAATCACATCAAATAGTAAGTATACTTAGTTATTGTGGTAAGTTAAAAACCACTTTTTGGTTTCAAAACCATTAAAAACTACCTTATATTTTACGAAACTATCTAGATTTCTTAACATGATTTTAATTATTATCAATCAATGGTTAGATTTAATTTACTTTTAGATCTAATGGTCCAAAATTATCTATGTATAGTACATGAAAATCACCTTCATGTATCATAGAAAAATCCATGGCAAAAAGTTGGTACGGTCAGAATCATCTGCTTTTATTTCTGTGCACTCTTTCACCCTCTCCATGTGGATTTGTAAAAATTATTACATAGATTCAGTATATGACGTTATTGCGTGCTTGTCTAACGAGATTTTTGAGATTTTTTTCATTAAGTTTCTTATTTTTCGAACCATAGCCTCTTGTTATTTGGCAGGCAAATTGTCAACTTAAAATTATCGAAATACAGAATAATTACTCATAACTTTGAGCATCAATTAGTCTCATGCAAGAACAGTCCCAAATCCAAGGATGTTGAATGTGCCAAGCTAATACCAAACCCACAAAACTCTCTTTGTTTATCATTGTGTTCCACACTATCTGTATAGTATAATTATGCTAAAATGATACAATTTGTTATATTTTTTCAAATTTTAGAAGTGGTGAACGTAAGTTATCCAAAAATAAATAAAATAACGTAAGCATTTTAAGTCGGTGTAATCAAATGCACGTGGCCTTGTGGTATGGAGGCAGCACTTAGATACTTATAAGGTAGAAGTTGGGAGTTTAATCTCCCCCAAATTAATAATCTAACAATTGATTTTTGCTGATAAAAAAAATTAAATAAATTTAAAAAAGATAGGTGTAATCAAACAACTGTTTCTTTATTTGATTTATGTAGCTCCACCCCTAGCAAGAAGCAAGACATTTTATTATGGGAAATGCTAGAGAGCTCTAAATCTAGAGCTCTAATTTGAGCTCTAGTGATGTGTCCAAGCAAAAAAAAAAAAAAAAAAAAAAAAAAAGACAAAGCACAAACATCACATCAGTGTAGGTCCTACATTCCCATTAGAACTATTAGAGCTCCTATATTAGAGCTCTAAAACATTTTTGTTTACTCTTGAAAAATATCACTTTTCGCGACCAAAGTGTTTTAACGACAAAATGGATTAGTCGCGGTAATTAAATATTAGCGACCAAAAAGTTTAGTCGGCAAATCTAACTTTTGCCGACCAACCAAAATTTTGGTCGTGAATTACTTTTGCCGACCCTCAATTGGCGACCAAAGTAGCGACCAAAAAAATTGGTCGCAGATAACTTTTGCCGACCAAAAATAGGCTTTTAGCGACTAATTTTTTGATCGGCAAAAGTATTAATTCTTGTAGTGATCATAGAAAAATCCAAAGTTGGTACGGTCAGAATCATTTGCTTTTATTTTTGTGCACTCTTTCACCCTCTCCATGTGGATTTGTAAAAATTATTACATAGATTCAGTATATGACGTTATTGCGTGCTTGTCTAACCAGATTTTTGAGATTTTTTTCATTAAGTTTCTTATTTTTCGAACCATAGCCTCTTGTTATTTGGCAGGCAAATTGTCAACTTAAAATTATCGAAATACAGAATAATTACTCATAACTTTGAGCATCAATTAGTCTCATGCAAGAACAGTCCCAAATCCAAGGATGTTGAATGTGCCAAGCTAATACCAAACCCACAAAACTCTCTTTGTTTATCATTGTGTTCCACACTATCTGTATAGTATAATTATGCTAAAATGATACAATTTGTTATACTTTTTCAAATTTTAGAAGTGGTGAACGTAAGTTATCCAAAAATAAATAAAATAACATAAGCATTTTAAGTCGGTGTAATCAAATGCACGTGGCCTTGTGGTATGGAGGCAGCACTTAGATACTTATAAGAGAGAAGTTGGGAGTTCAATCTCCCCCAAATTAATAATCTAACAATTGATTTTTGCTGATAAAAAAAATTAAATAAATTTAAAAAAGATAGGTGTAATCAAACTAACTGTTTCTTTATTTGATTTATGTAGCTCCGCCCCTAGCAAGAAGCAAGACATTTTATTATAGCTTATTTTGGAAAGTGGGTTAAAAGTCACTAACCAACTTTTAATCCACTTCTTCTTTCACATAAAAAAGTCAAAAAGTCAAAAGACAAACTTTTAACCATCTTTTCAAAATATTTATGTATCAGCTAAAAGAAAAGTATTCTACAACATTATAGGCGACTCTGCTGGGTCAATGCGGCTACCTTGAAACTGGAAATCCCGGTGATTTCCCTGCCTGTAACCAATGTGTTGATGTCATAAGTGCCTTCGCCTGTGTAAGTCGGCTCCAAGTCACAGAATGCCTATAAAATATCCGACAATGAGACTGTTAATGTTAATGTTATAGGTCAATGGTTCGTTAAAATAGCCAACAAATTAGAATGGAGCCAAAGGCAATAGTACATAATACGAACTAAAAGCAAATATATATTGTATATATGTATATTGCTGGCCTACCAAAAGTAAGCTAGAAATGACATTTCATAGAATCATTTTGAAACCGATAAATATTATGCAATGTACGGATATCAAGCATGTAAAGTAATAATAGATCACAGTGAATACTCAATTGTTGAAGAACGACCATATTAAAAGGAGCCCACATGATTGCTCTCTGAATCAATGCAGCAAATCCTTCAACTAAAAAATTAAAAAAAAAAAAAACCCCTAATGGGAAGAGGTTAGCCATTAAGGTTTTTTTTTTTTAATCAAGAAATTGTTGAATTCATAGGGTCCCATCATTCTTCCTCTACATTAATTGTTTAGGGAATTAGGGTTCTTTTGGGGTTATAGTTGATGGCTTCTTCTAAAATCCATCTCTGTTCTCTACTATAAAATCGGGCATGAGAATTTCTTCCTATCCACCTTGTCAAGAATAAAATAACTAATATCCTTAATCCAAGGATCATTACATGATAAATTAGACAAAACTATTCTCAATCCAATGATTTGAATTATGTGCAAAGGATTCCTAAAATAAAAACACATTCACTATACATTGCATCATTCTCCTACAATAAGTTTGGCAACATCATTTGATTTCATATTCTTGTCGGTAGTAATAAGCCAATAAGATTTAATAAACAAGTATGAATTCAGATCCTATTTCACTTTTGGATTGGATATCAATAAACACATAACTTTTGAACCTATTTCTTTTTTGTTTGTTCTTTTTTTCATGAAGTGTCTAAGATCTTATTTTTCATTCAAGGAATCTTAGCTATAAAAAGGCACTAAACAACACAATCTAGAAAAGTCAAAATCCAATCCTTCACAGCTCAAGTTAAAGGGAAATATATGAAATTAAGATATGTTTGAAAACCTTTGCAACATGGAAGTCCGTCAAGATTCCATTGCCACCAAGTAACTCTCGCCCAAGAGCTACAGTCTCCCTTGCTTTCAAGCTAATCCAAGCCTGAACAATGTAGAAAAGTTGTCACCAGGGCTAAATCAAGCAGAGTATCTCCTCAACATAAAATAGGTAAATTATACTTTTCACCCCTAGAATAATTTAGTCCCTATATTTTTAATATTGCTTCAATTTGGTCCTTATGTCAAGTTGAAGGTTCAAATTAACAATTTTAGGACAATCACCCTATATGGAAATTTCACTTGCCACACTCCGCTGGTTTTCTCCACTAATTTTACTTGGAATTCACAATTTGATTTTAGAGAGGAGACAAAAAGGACTCAACAACCTTTTCAGTAAGGTACAACTGAAAAGCTGAACATTAGTGAGATCCCCCCATGCTATATCATACCTGTGACACATATCATAGACACCTATTGGAATGCCAATAAGTTGCCAAGCAACCATGAGACGTGCAGAAGCAAGGACCTGTATTCGAACAACAGTAAGTAGATGAGTAAATAGGCGCCAAGAACCACACATTGACATGAGGGAATAGAGAGCAGCCCCTTCCCCAACTAAAAACCAAAAATATAATAATATATATATATTCTCTCTCTCTCTCTCTCTCTCTCTCTCTCTCTCTCACAGGAGGGAGGGAGGGGAGTCAGGAGACTGATAGGACAATAATATAGAAATAATCAAATCTGAAAAAGACAAAATCGTAAAATATGAAATAAAGCTACTCAGTAATAAGCTAAAGCTAAATTACATTGATAAATTATGAGCCTATGGAACAACTTGAAGTACAACATGTATCAATGAGGACAAACAACTAACCCCAAAACCAGCAATGCCAATCTATCCACAGGATAAACTGCTAGCATGATAATGGACCAAAGCATCATACCACCGAGATTAATATAATAACCAAGGAATTTATACATGAAAATACAGTTAATAGAACCCCATTTGTTGCCATACCTTGTTTGTGTCCCGAAAAGAAGTGATACCAGGTAATTTGTCCTCATCAGGAACAAAAACTTTCTTAAGGAGAATATCTCCATTTTGGACCATCCGCAAGCCAATCTTATTTTCTATTTTAGTAGCTTGCAGTCCAGGGGCATCCTTCTTTACCAGAAATCTGAAACAGATGGAATAAGCACTGGTAATGTTTATGGGAGTTGCAAGAAAAAGAATCAAATACCTCAAAACCCAGAAAAATATAACGATAATGTAGTAAAACCTAGCACTGTTGAACATATTAGAAAAAAAGAAAAAGAAAAATGCCCCGCAGGACCCATCGGTGCTATAGAAAACACTATCCACTAATTCAGTTACTTCTGGAAAGCACTTGTTAGCCTGGGTTGGACACAATCAAGTGGAAATCAATTTAGTGTCTTCTAGTTTTGAACATTCAGAAAATAAAATAAAATAAAATAGGGTAAATTACATTTACCTCCCCTGAGATTTCTGACAAATACAAAGACCACCCCTGTGGTTTGAATAATTATAATAACCTCCCTTACTTCACCTGACAATATCAAGATTCTCCCAAAATTTGACAGCCGTTTATATACCTAATAGACCTTGCTGACGTCATCTAATGTAAGCACTAAAATACCCATAATGCCCATAATGCACTAAAATGCCAATTAAAGAATTTTCCACAAAACCCAATCCAAACTCTATCTTCCGTAAACGAGATCAAACCAGACGAAGAAGACATAGAGGAACAAAAGCCCCACAAACCCAGTTCGTCCCCAATTCGTTGCCGTTTTCATCGGTTCGCCCCGATTCTCGCCCTCCTCTCCATCTTTCTCTGCACCCTCTTCCTCTATCTCGGCAGAGACGACATACCCACCTCGGAAAACCTCATCTTAGCCCTAATTTTCATTGTCATTGCTCTCTTCTTCGCTGGCAAAAGCAAGGGTTTGATTCACCAAAGCTTTTTGATTCTCTCCAAGCGACTTGGGTTCTCGAGAACAACCACAAACCGGTCCAATGGTTTATCGGTGAGTCGATTTTATCGAAAAAAGACTGAAAATCGAAGCGAATTGTAAGAGAAGGGATTGAATTTTACAGCAATGGTGATTTTATGAAGGGGAGTTTCACAAGGGGAGGTATAATGGGAGTGAAGTGTACAATTACTTTGTGAATGAGAGGTATGAGGGAGATTGGGTTGATGGGAGGTATGATGGGTATGGGATTGAGAGCTGGGCGAGAGGTAGTCGGTTTCGAGGATAGTATCGGCAAGGTCTCCGGCATGGTTATGGAGTTTATAGGTTTTATACAGGGGATGCTTAGGCAGGGGAGTGGTGTAATGGACAGAGCCATGGTGTTGGAATGCAGAGTTACTCCAATGGAAGCGGTTATGTTGGTGAATTCAAGAGTGGAGTCAAGCACGGCCTTGGTTCTTACCATTTTAGGTGAATTCTTCAACTTCGATTTGACTCTGTATTTGATCTGTTTTCTTACTATGTATAATTTTTTGTTTGGTGATCTATTTTCAAAAATTAAACTACCCTTTTTCTCAGAAAATATTATTGGAAGTTAGTTTGGAATTTTCAAAAATTTGTGTTGGCACAAAAATGAAACGAAGAATAGAAGGGAAGATATACTATTTGGACATTGTTAATGATTAATATAACAATGGAATTTATTGTGTTATGTTCATGATTGTATATGAATCACAGAGACACCGATATATAATATTCCTTACTAGTATGCTAGCATCTAACCGAAATCGCGTTACGGAATGAATCGAGGAATTAAAGATCACCGACGTCTAGACAAAATCCTGTGGATTTCCCCAATGAATTCCTCCATTTTCTTCTTGTGATGGCGTTCTGCTTTGGATTTTTGAAGATCGATTCTCATGAGAAGCAGATTTATGCACCTTTTCTTACTGAAAGTATTACTAAAATATGATTGTTTTGATCTGTGTAATCTTGAGAGGAATACTATTTTTTTTTTTTTTTTGAGAATTGTTTTGTGATTTCAGATGTTGTTTTGAAATCAGTTTCATACAAAGATTTCGTCTTTGTTTAGTTCATGTCATTTGATGAAAGTTTCTTGATATATGATATGAGTTTTTAGTTTTTAATTTGTACCCAAGATTTCATTTTTCTTGATTTGATTTTGATGAATACAATGTAGACTTTTTAATTATAAAATATAAATAAAAAGAATGGAATTTCTTGTTACAAATCGGTTGTGTTCATGCATTTACTTGTCATTGTATGGCATTTTAATAATCAATTTATGTCATCAAAAATATAGTTGTAGTAGTTGGTGTTAAATTTGTTGACTTTGTTCAGTTCCTTGATGTCATCGTGTTTGGAAAACTATTGAAGGAATTGAATGTTTTATATTTTTTTGACCCTATTTTAAAGCAGTTTAATAATGCACTTATGTCATCCAAAATATAGTTGTAGTAGGTGCTAATTTTGTGGATTTATGAAAAAGTAAGAGTAATATGGTCATTTTCAATAGGATACTAACGTCGTTTGTGCAAAATAGACGGAATGGGATAATCTTGACATTGTCAGGTAAAGTAAGGGAGGTTACTGTAATTACTCAAACCACAGGGGAGGTCCTTGTATTTGTCAGAAACCTCAGGGGAGGTAAATGTAATTTACCCAATTAAATAAGAAGAATGCAAGAATTTGAGAATTAGCCATTTTAGTTCTTGATAAATCTGAATTAAAAATTGCAGGTTAGACAAGTACATTGAATTATCAATTATTCAAAATGTTGAATTGCAAAATGAGGCGATGCAAGAGGCCAGCTTCCTGTCTTGGAACTCAAGTTTCTAGTCGGTTTGAGCAACCTTCAATGGGTTTTATGTTTTTCCTTAGTATCGTCAGGGCTGGTAAGTTCGAATAACCATGTATATTTTTCAACATGTATCCTTCCTCAACATTTGGTTAATGTAGTTGGGGGTTCCATTTGTGCACTTTACGTGCATCCTGTTGGCTCCAGCCCACATGAAGGAGTAGTTAGAGGTTGGCTCCAAGTCAAGAAGTAAGAGGGGAGATGGCAGGTGGCAGCCCTCCCAATTACTCCTCTTCCTTGACTTTGTTCCCTCTCATTTGTGTATAAAATTGAGGTGATGAGACAATGATGAAACACAACACAAACAAAGCAAGAAAGAATCAAAGAGAGTGTGTGTAAATCTATAGCAAGTGAGTGTGAGTTCTGTAATCTCCCTCCGGGAAATTCTATAGTGAAATCTCTTTGTGGACGTAGACAATTGCCGAACCACGTAAATATTTTGTGTCTTTTCTTTGTGTGATTGATCTCTTAGTGTTAATCCTAACAAGTGGTATCAGAACCTCGTTGGTCGATATTCAAAAAAACAGGGTATGTTTTTTAGAAACTGCCAGAAATCAAGTTGCTTGAAATTCACTTTTGAGCATACTAGGTGGAAGCTCTCGACGAGAGGAGTCTAGAACTGCAAAGAAGAGCCCCAAACGAGGCTCCATGCGCTCTCACGTGCCACCTAAAGAAGGCGAATGAAGCCCAGTTGTAGGCACACGTTTTATGCGCCGTTGCCTGTGCCGGCGTGTCATCCCAATCGTGAACACTCGCCAGAAGCGCGGCTAAAGGAAGAAGGCGAATGCTCTGCACGTGATAGTGACGTCATCGTCAGCTCATCGCCACGTCAGCCTAGGGCAATGCCACGTGTCTGCCACGTCATCCCCCCAGCTGACTAGCCAACCGTCATGTTGACTCGATCCGACCCAGAGGCAGAGGGCTATCCGGTGCTACGTGGCTAAGGTACATCCACAGATCTGAACCATCGAACTTATTTTTATTAGATCTGAGCCATTTGAAGTCCAATTTTGGTGAGCCAATAGTGGTTTCCAACTATTTGGAGTATTTCGGAGAGATCCGTAAAATCAGATTTTTGAATCAGAGTTTCTGTAAAAAGAAAGAAGACGATGGAGTAATCCACATCAACTTCAGGATCAATGATAAAGTTAAATCCTTCCAATTATGCAATCTGGAAGCTGCAGATAGAAGACATCTTATATTATAAAGACCTGTTTGACCCTATTGCTCTAAAAGGGGTTAAACCAGAAGAAGTGAATGATGAAGACTGGATAAAGATGAACCAGAAGACTATCAGTTGTATCAAACAATGGATAGACCACAGTGTGTTCCACCATGTCGCCCAGGAGACAGATGCATATGTCCTTTGGACAATGTTAGAAGGAATGTACCAGTCAAAGACCGCCCGAAACAAAGCCTTGGTGATGAGAAGGCTTGTAAATCTGATGTTGAAGAATGATATGTCTGTCGTCGAGCACACTAGTGAATTTAAGAATCTGGTGAATCAACTTATAACTGTCAAGATGCCCTTGGATGATGAAATGCAAGCCGTTCTACTGCTTAATTCTTTACCGGACAGTTGAAAGACGTTGGTGGTTTCTCTTAGTAACTCTGCACCAGAGGGGAAGCTGACCATGAGCATGGTCATAGACACCATGTACAATGAAGAGACAAGGAGGAAAGCCATGGGAGGTAATCAGTCCCATGCTTTTGTCACAGAAGATAGAGGTAGAGACAAAGGTAGAGGTAGAGGAAGAGGCAGAGGAAGAAACAAGAGTAGAGGCAGATAGAACAACATGAGTAAATCTAAAGACAGTAAAAGTCAAGGTAACTCTAGCTTCACTTGCTTTCACTGTGGCCAAGAGGGTCACATAAACAGGAACTGTCCAAGCCGAAAAGATAAAGGCCAAAGTAGCAAGTCAAAGGGAGATGAGAACAAGACAGCTACAACAACTGATGAACTACTTCTTGCAGTTAGTGAAGAAGAGGATTGCCTTCACGCCGACCCATAGCTATGCATAGTGAGTGATAGACATAACTGCATCCTATCATGCCACTTCCCACAGAGAAACTCTTTAGCTCGTACAACGTTGGAGATTTTGGCACTGTTCGAATGGGAAATTCTAGCTATTTGAAGATTGTGGGCATTGTAGACATTAGTATTCAGACTAATGTCGGACATAAGCTGGTTCTAAAAAATGTGAGGCATGTTCTAGATTTGCGCCTCAGTCTTATCTCCGGAAGCACCTTGGACCGACAGGGCTATACAAGTACATTTGGAAATGGTCGTTGGAAGCTGACAGGAGGAGCTTTGACAATCGCCAAAGGAAAGATGTCTTCAACACTGTACAAGACTCAAACGAAGATCTGTCTGAGAAGTCTTAATGCAGTAGAAGACAAGGAGTCACCAGACTTATGGCACAGAAGACTGGCTCACATGAATGAGAAAGGATTGCATCTGTTGGCAAAGCAATCCAAGATACCCTTATCCAAAGGGAGTGCCCTGAAGCCACGTGATCATTGCTTTTATGGCAAGCAGCATCGACTATCATTCAGTTCAACGAGCAAGAGGAAAACATAAGTGCTCATATGGTATAATCGGATGTTTGTGGCCCAATCGAAGTGGAGTCACTTGGCGGCCGCAAGTATTTTCTAATCTTCATTGATGATGCATCAAGGAAGTTGTGGGTGTATTTCCTGAAGACGAAGGATGAGGTATTCTAACACTTTCAGGAGTTCCATGCAATGGTGGAAAGAGAGATCGGGAAGAAGTTGAAGTGTCTTCGCACAAACAATGGTGGCGAGTACACTTCCAATGTTTTTGAAGCATATTGTGCTAGCAGAGGTGTTCGGCACGAGACAACAGTTCCTGGTACCCCACAACACAATGGTGTGGTAGAAAGGATGAACCGCACTATTGTTGAAAGAGTCAGATGTATGCTCAGAATGACAAAGTTGCCAAAGTCATTATGGGCTAAAGCCACCTGTACAGCCTGTTATCTCATTAACAGGTCGCCTTCAGTTCTGTTGAATTTTGCGATACTTGAGGAAGTCTGGTTTAGAAGAAAGATATCATATTCTCACTTGAGAGTCTTCAAGCATAAGATGTTTGCACACATCTCCAAGGAAAATAGATAGAAGCTTGATGACAAGTCCACTCCATGTATATTTGTAGGCTATTCAGTTACAACATTTTGGTACAAGTTGTGGGACCCAGTGAACAAGAATATGTTCAGAAGTAGAAATATTTTGTATCACGAAGACCAGACGGTAGCAGATTTTGAGAAGTCTGCAAAGTTTAGAGATGTCATCACTCCAGACTTGTTCCCATCTCCCGAGCCATCACAAAATGCTAGATGTGATGATGTGCAACAAGAAGTGCCAGAGTTGCAGAATCCTATGACAAAAATTAAGGATCAGAAGGAAAGAGATGAAGACTCGGATGAAAAGGGTGTTGAGCAGAGGGAGCAACCCCCTTAACTAAAGGTGACTGGGCCTCAGTTTTAGAGATCTGGAAGAGCTGTCGTGTTATCAACCAAATATCCCACTTCTCAGTATATTCTGATTGCTGATAAGAGGGAGCCTAAGAGTTTTTCGGAAGCAAAGAGTTATACAAAGGAAGATTGCTGGATGCAAGCTAGGAAGGAGGAGATGAATTCTTTACAGAAGAACCACATTTATGAGCTTGTTTCACTTCCAAAGGACAGGAAGGCATTGAAAAACAAATGGGTGTACAAATTGAAGAAAGATGGCAACGGTAAAATATTGCAGCATAAAGCTCGCTTGGTGGTCAAAGGTTTTGGACAGAAGAAGGGAATTGATTTTGATGAGATCTTCTCTCCAGTAGTAAAGATAACTTCTATTCAAGTAGCTCTGGGATTAGCAGCTCGCTTGAATCTTGAGGTAGAATAGATGGATGTCAAGACTGTCTTTCTCCATGGTGACTGGAGGAAGAGATCTATATGGAGCAGCCAGAAGGATTTGAAGTTAAAGGAAAAGAAAATCTAGTCTGCAAACTGAAGAAGGGTTTCTATGGCCCAAAGTAGGCCCGAGACAATGGCACAAGAAGTTTGATTCATTCATGGTGGATCACGAGTACGCAAGAGTGGTAGTAGACTAGTGTGTATATTTTTGAAGGTTTTCAGATGGAAACTTCATCATCCTACTGATGTATGTCGATGATATGCTAATCATCGAATAAGATACTGCTATGATCAACAAGTTGAAAAAGGACTTGTTGCAGTATTTTGCCATGAAGAATTTAGGCCCAGCACAGTAGATTTTGGGCATGAAGATTGTTCATGACAAGAAAGCCAAGAAGATATGGCTGTCACAGGAAAAATATGTTGAACGAGTGATTGAAAGGTTCAACATAAACGATGCCAAGCTAGTCACTACTCCATTGGCTAACCATTTTAAGCTGAGCAAGAGTTCTTGTCCCTTATCTAAAAATAAAAGAGAAGAGATGGAGGCAATTCCCCCCTCATCTGTAGTAGCGAGTTTGATGTAATCAATGGTGTGTACCCGGCTAGATATAGCTCACACAATTGGCGTTGTGAGTAGATTCCTTGCCAATCCAGGAAAGGAGTATTGGGAGGCAGTCAAATAGATTCTTTGGTACTTGAAGGGAACTTTAAAGATGTGTCTATGTTTTGGGGGAGCTGAACCAATTTTGGAGGGTTTTATAGATGCCGATATGGTGGGTGATCTTGATAGTAGAAAGTCTACATCAGGATTTTATTCACCTTTGCAGGGGAAGCTATTTCACGGCAGTCCAAATTACAAAAGTGTGTTGCTTTATCTACAACAAAGGCAGAGTACATTGCTGCCGCAGATGCTAGAAAGGAAATGTTGGGGTTAAAGCGATTTCTCCAAGAATTAGGTCTACAACAGAAAGAGTACAAGGTACATTGTGATAGTCAGAGTGCAATTGATCTGAGCAAGAATTTCATGTACCACTCACGTACAAAGCACATTGATGTTCGGTATTATTGGATATGAGAAGTGATGGAAAAGCATCTGATGAAGCTAGACAAACTGGAAGTTTGCAAGAATCTGACCAGAATGGACTTCAAGTAAGAAGTTAGTTACCAATATGGGCATAGAGGGGGAGAATTGTTGGCTCCAGCCCACATAAAGGAATAGTTGGAGGTTGGCTCCAAGTCAAGAAGTAGGAGGGGAGATGGCAGGTGGTAGCCCTCCCAATTACTCCTCTTTCTTGGCTTTGTTCCCTCTTATTTGTGTATAAAATTTAGGTGATGAGACAAGGATGAAACACAACACAAACAGAGCAAGAAAGAATCAGAGAGAGTGTGTGTAAATCTATAGAAAGTGAGTGTGAGTTCTGTAATCTCTCTCCGGAAAATTTTATAGTGAAATCTCTTCGTGAACGTAGGCAATTGCTGAACCACGTAAACATCTTGTATCTTTTCTATGCGTGATTGATTTTTGAGTGTTCTTAATCCTAACACATCCATCCTTAATGCTACACATCTTCATAATAGTACGGATATAACAACTGCATATAGATGGCTTACCCATTTATCTGATTTGTTATTGTGTTCCTAGCAAAAATAACCAACACATCTGCAAAAGTGCTGTTTGCTATCCAGCGCTTTTGACCTTCAAGGATCCAACCACCTGCAACCTGATTATCCCAAAAAATAAAAGGCACAACACGTGCTTAAGATGCCAAGAAGGTGTTGTAGACAGTAAATAGAATTTGGTAGCTAAAAGCAAAAAAGAAGCATGATCAACTCTACAAGATTAATAATTGTATGAAGGTTTAAGGTGCTGGACCTTTGTCGCTGTTGTTTTTAGAGAACTTGCATCACTTCCATAGCCAGGTTCAGTCAAACCCTGTTGTGTGAATAAAAGATCAGAGTTACATGCTTGCAGCAGAGACAACTACTGACGTAATATTAGGAATCTAAACAAATGCTAAAACAAAAAAAATACAAATCCTTACCCAAGAACCTATGGTTTTTAATTGTGCCAATGAAGGTAAATATTTCTGCTTCTGTGTTTCAGATCCTGCTAGTGCTGTTGTTGATAAACCAAGAAAGTATCAGAGACCTCATCATCCATCACCCATAAGCATACAACTACGGAAAACTGTAATCTCTAACAACAAAATACTATAGGGAAAAGTAAAAAAAGAAAAGAAAAAGAACTTACCGATAGTTTTCATTGCCAAAGAAGAATGCGTCATAAGAAAAACGGAGAAGCTTGCATCAACTCTGGCAGTTTCTACCATGGTTATGACACTTGCTGTAATGGAGTGGCTTGGACACCCATAACCCTTGAAGAAAAAAACTAATTGAACTTCCCACATACCAATATAACAAGCTCAATAAGATAGATCAAAGCAAAATGCATGAAGTACCTTAATTGAGCCACCAACAACACCTAGGGCAGCAAACTTTGGAAGAACATCAAATGGGAATTCTGCCTTCTCCCAGTACTGAAAAGCAAAAAGAGAGAATTTTGTATAGTCAAGAGTTTAAAATAATAAAATAAAAGGCCATAAGGATGTGTAAGGCTTAACACACACAGGAAAACATATACAACCATTATCTATCAGACAAACCAACAAAGTTATACAACACCTGCCGAAAGTGGCGGAGCAAGAAAATTAAATTAGGAGGGGCATTTATTAATTACAATTTTAATTTTTTTTTTCATAACCAACAATAAGAAGATAATAATAATTTTTGAATTAATATTAAGTAAAAAAATTTAAATAAATTTTTACAAAAGTATTTCAAATAAAATTTTATAATTAATTTCAAGTAAAATAAAAAAGAAAGTATTGCGTGTAACTAGTGTATCATGGATAATGTAAAAAAGTTAATATATATTTAAGTAGTAAAATAAATTATATAATGGTAAGATCAATCAAATTTTTACCAAATTTGAATAAAAATTTCATATAATAATGATATCACGTCATTATTGACATATGATATCACCAACCAATAGTAAACAGCATATGAAAGGTGAACTTCACATGCAAATATAACTAACACTCTAGTAATTTTTACATATATGTAGAGAGATTAATTATATTTGCATATCAATAATGATAGATATTACCTTTATATTGAGATTTTTTCACAAAATTTTCATACATAAAAATATAATTTGTTATTGTCACTTCATTTTCAATAAAACAATCACTATTGTTTTCATAAATTTAAAAATGCCCTTGATATTTTATTCTAAATATTATTTTTGTTTAAAATTTTATTTATATACGTATGTAAAAAAACATAAAAAAAGGAGAAAAATCCAGGGGGTACGTGACCTCCTTGGTCCTCATGTGGCTCCGCCATTGCAGGCAGACAAGTTGGGCATGTAACAAGAACATACCTTCACCATTATTGGTGCTATTTCTTTTTCCATATACTCTCTTACTTTCATCCTGATGGACTGTTCTTCAGGAGTCAATAGGTCATGAAACTGAAAATAGTCCGAAGCTGTAATTATAGGAGTTCAAGGTAATTAGTACAAGGATTGTGGCATTGTAAGGAATTCAATAAACAACTTTTAGTTTTCAAGAAGAAAGCATTTGTGTTTTGATTTTGAGAGCAAAAACAATTAGCAACACAGTGCCGAAGTTTTGCATGTATTGAAATAGGCCTTGGAACAAAGACTATTGGTTATAATTTCAAACATACATCAGCATAATATCAACATATGTATATATGCAAGTATTCAAAAAAACATACACCCAACCTTAAACAAAGCAAAAAATATACCATAAATCTCTATAAGAAAAAAATTTATCAATCTTACTGCAAGGAGGAAAGATGGATGCCGGAGTTGCTTGGGGGAATGCAATGGGAACATCCAATGCTGGTAAGTTGAAATAAGAGCTCTTTGGCTCGTTGTGTTTCTCATCTGCATTCATTGAAGCGAAGTCTTTCAATTAAATGAACTGCCAAATCACGATTAAAGTAGAAGATGATTTCACTATCTACAAAGAAGAATACAAAACTTAAGCAGCTTGTGAAAGCCATTAAAAAGCAGAGGATGTGAGAAGCCAATACAAATTTTGCCTCACATTTTGGCAGAATTCTACTCAATTCAAACCCGATAATTCACCAAAATAATTATCCTAGAAATCCCAGAATTGACATGCCAAACAAACTAGTAGTTAATCAGTTAGCTAGTAGAGAAACTCTTTTGTTTTGATCTGTTTTGCAACTACAAAACAGAGTAAAACTGGAGATCAACTTACAACTAATTTCATTCTCTTACATGTACTAAAAGTAATATAAATAGGTGAGAGGAGTATGAAAAAGAGGTTTGTAATCTATAATTCAAATCATCAAGTTTCTCTTATAAAATATAGTGGACTTTTTTGAACCAAATTATAGCTTCTAATTTTTGAAAAGTTATTTTTGACAGTTTGGTTAAACTTATTTCAAATGGCTTATGATTCTAATAACATATTTTAACTCAAAAATGTTGATTTTGAAAAGCTATTTATCCCCTACTTCTGATTTATCAGCTTCTGTAAAGTCTATATGTTTTTATCCGCAATATTGTGTGTTTTTGTATGTTTTTATGAATATTGTGTGTTTTAATTTGTGTTTAAAGCCATGGATTATCAAAAGTCCCCTTTTAATGTTTTTTTTTTTAATTTTTATAAAAATAGAAAAAGACCCAAATGGACTATAGATTATTATTATTATTATTATTATTATTATTATTATTTATTATTTTTTATGAGAAATGTAGACAAGTAATAAATAACAAAAAATAAAAGTTAATTGAAAAAGTTATTTCACAACTTATTTAATAAACACTACTCAGCATCTTGAATTTATAATCTAACAGTTACACCAAACAGATTAACAGCTCCGAATTAAAATCATAATTTATAATCTGTTTTAACAGCTATACCAAACGGGGCCAATAAGCCCTACACATTTGGCATAATTACACTTGACTCTTTTAGGTTTTTATTCATATAACACTTTTCCATTTTTCATTAGAAATTCATTAATCGTATGAATGAAGAAAAAAAAAATTATCATTTATTTTACATTGAAATATTTATTTTACCTTGTATATCTGTTTCTATATACCATTTGCATTAATTTGATTTAATAAAAAAGAGGTCAATATAATTATATCAAAACTACATGACTTATTATATATTTTTTTAAAACATCAGGAAGACTGTAATTTACCCTTTATTTATCGATCTAATTGTCTGGGGCAGAGAGAGATAGGGTGTTACCTTGAAATCCATTGTAGATTTCATTTCCAAATGGTTTAAAGGTTTTTTTTTTTTTTTTTTTGGGGGGGGGGGTTGAAGAGTGGTGCTTGCAAATGTAGGTAAAACTTGAGCCCCACCCACCTCAACAAAGTCTGCAAATGATCAAAATATAATCTACCCCCACATAAATGTCGAGACAGGTAAAACTCGTCCTATTCAAATAAGTATAAGCAGGTCCCACGAATTGATTTTAAATAGCCATCCCAAGTAGTGGCGACTTAACAGTAACAATTTGAGATCTCCATTAATTAGACTTTCACCTTATTTAACAAATGTAGATTTGGATTCAAATGGTTTCAATTTGATTGAAGATTCAACTCCGAGATTGTCAACTCTCAACTAATCCAACTATCCAAGCAATCTTCAGCGAAAATCAAAGGAAAATATTCATTTCGTCTCAAAATATTAACCTCTTATTTTATTTTTTATTATCTCAAAATATTAATTTATTTTCAAAAATCAAAAATTAAAATAATATGAATTTTTTATTTTGTCATTCTTTTAAATTTATTAACAACACAAAATATATAATTATAACAATTGATATTTTCAAAAAAAAAATATACTATCAAATGATAATTTTAAAATTTTAATATTTTTAAAATGTAAAATAATATTATTAAAAAAATTTAATTTTTTTTTAAAAAAGTTATTATTTTGAGACAAAGGAGTAATCGAAATTACCAAGAAAAAATTGAATATTTAGAGAGAGAGAGAGAGAGAGAGAGAGAGGGGGGAACACACCTTGAGTTTTTGGGCATTCAACAGCCATGATGATTGAGCTGTGTATGAGAGAGAGAGAGAGAGAGAGAGAGAGGGTTTTGATGGAAAAATCAGCGAGATCGTAAAGCGGGAACATACATTGATGCTTAAATATGTTTATTGTGTAGTAAGCGCGGAACACGTGGAACTTGAAGGCACCGGATCCTCTGATGCGATTGCTGCATGTTATCAAATTGTTCAACTTTTAAAGGAAATATCTCAGTGAATTTTTGCAAAAATAATTATAAATCAATAAATAAATAAAAAAAATTAATCGATAAGTCTTATATTTTAGATTTATAATTTATGTAGTCTTATATTTTTTTTTTGTGATCTATTTAGTTCTTTTAAATATATAATGACCTATTTATCAGCCACATTAGAGTATCACCAAGGAGTTTTTTAGTGTCACATCAGACCCGCCACGTTGGAGTGTTACACTTGAAAAAAGTACACTAAAGAGGTTTTAATTTTTTTAGAATGTCATATCATACTTGTCAAATCGGTGCGTCACATGTTACATTTGAAAAAAATATATTAAAGAGTTTTTAATTTTTTTTATAGTACTATATCATATCTGCCACGTTATCACATTTGAAAAAAGGTACGCTAAAGAGTTTTTAATTTTTTTTAGAGTATCACATTATAGTTTTTAATTTTTTTTAGAGTATCACATCATACCTGTTACGTTGGAGTATCACATATTACATTTGAAAAAAATACACTAAGCAGTTTTTAGTTTTTTAGAGTTTTACATCATTTAGTTTTTTTTTTTTAGTGTCACATTATACTAGTCCCATTAAAATGTCACATTAATACCTGTTATACTAGAGTGTCACATCATACTTGTTACATGACTAAAATGGTATAACCATCCACCAAAACATTATCAAAATTGAAAATAAAACTACACAAAAAGAAATTTTCTACTAATAAGACTTAACAAATCAATTGAAAAAATTTAAGGCTAATTGAAGTACTTGTTTATAAGATGTGATTTATTGATAAATAACCTTTAAAAACAATTATAAATATTATTAATTTCCAGTGAATATGTACATATATATTTTGAAATACCCACCACGGTGTAATTACTACACATTATAATAAGAAAAATAAAAAATAAAAAAATACATAAACATAAAAGGGTACAAGTCAGACTTGCACCTCTATAGAATTTGAGTTGCACCCCATAACAAGATGATTTGCACCTATTATGTTTGTGTAATTTTTTTTGTACCATTATTTAGTATACTGACATGGTGTCAGTGAAAAATATTTACAAAAAATATATATTATAAATATTAATAATTAATATCATAAAAGTTTGGGTAAAGCACTATTAAATCCTAAATCAAAGAATATTGAACCATTTAGTCCTTTTTTTTTTTTTTTTTTGGACCGATCAATCCCATTTTAATGTTAAAGACCTTTGAGCCCATGATTTCAGTGCATGAGTAGAAAATTGTGAGGGTAAATATTTGTTTTACATGATGTTAAATTTATCAAAATGACCAAAAGCGTACCGTAGTGTTTTTTGCTTTCCCTCCTGCACTATCAAAACGGAAACGGTGAAGATGGAAAGTTCTCAATTTTGATTCTAATGTTACAGCGATGATAAACACTCAATTTCTTTGAATATTATTTAATTTGGTAATGTTAATGTTCATTTCCAAATTAACATTCCATTTCTCCCCCTAAAAAAAAATCCCAGATTGCTGAAAACCCTATTCTAGCAATAAATTAGGGCCATCGTGACGTTAGGTCATTTCGCCATTTTTGTCTAGTGGTTGACAATGAAGACCTCAGCTAAACATCGTCAGTGTCAGTGTTTATTGCTAGCACCCACGGTGACAAGTATGTATTTTGTTGATTTTTTTTTGTTTTTTTGTTTTTGTTATGAAATGGTGAAAAATGTATGTGTGACGTTATATTTTAAAACCTATTTCGATGCGATATACATTGTTATAATGTTAGATTGTACACTGCATGTTACTTTGTAATGTTAGATTGTACATTGTTGTAATGGCAGGGTGGGAATCCAATTATATTGAGGGTAAGGTCAAGTAATGGCCCTTATTATGTGGTGTTGTTTGTGATAATGTATCTAAGTGTGTTTTGCAACATGGTGTTTGTCATAATTGGGTTGTTTGTGTTGGTCTAGTTGTTTGTGTTCATGTGGGTGTTGGCTTATTTTTCCTACGAAGGAAAATATCATAAATGCGAGTAGTAAGGATTGAAAAATTCTTACAGATTAAATTCAAGCCAATTATCAAGCGATTGCGTTGATGGTTCTTTTGCCTCAACAATGAGGTTTTCAAAATTGCCAAGTGTAGAGAAAAGGAAAATTAAAAGAAGAATGAGGGAGACAGGGAAAGACGATTGAGTAAACAATCAAAGCAATAATTACTTACCTCTCCTCTTGTGGTTCGAAAACGAAGTGCATAAAATGATTTGAAAATGAAATGCTGAAAATAAATGTTTCGAAATATAAATCTATGTTAAACAACTCCTAAGATAAGGAAAATGTCAAAAAATATTGAAATCAATTGCCTTTGATTTGAGTTCTAAATTTTTACAATGTAATCATGAATGGCTATTTATAGACAAACATTTGTAGGAAAAAATTACCTAAAACTACCTACTCTTCCACTTTCTCTATTTCATACTATATGATCTTCCATAACTTCCTTCAACTTCCACTTTATGCTCCATGTTCTCTACTTTATTCTCTATCATCTTTTCACATTTCATAACTTCTCATAATCTGCAAATAAGTAAGAGGATGCCACGTGTCCTCAATTATATAAATAATAAATAATAATAAAAATTATAGATTTATGGTGCCAACAGTGAGTGAGGGACCTTGTGAGGTTATGTTTTTAAGTGGTAGGAGTTGATGGTTTTGACACTAAAAGTGAATTTTTTTTTTTGTAATGTCTTTTGACAAACATGTTTGTAAGGTGTATGAAGTAACTTTTGATGTTGGTTGTTTGCGTGATGATTGAGTTGGTTGTGTTGAAAAAAAACCGCACAGCACGTCAATCGCATAAACTCAGAATCAACCAGCACCATTCAAACACTCATGTACAATCCTAAAGCAATATACACTGAATCCACATTAGAAAATAAAAAATCAACTGAGAAATATCAAAAACTCCCAAAACAGTCTAAGCAATCCCCTCCTAAAAAAAAAATAGTAATGTTATAACATTGCCATATCCACACACATCAGGGAAAAATCAAAATGAAATCACAAATAAGAGTAAATAAGTAAATTCCAAACTCAATAAATCAAACAAATACAACATACTAAAAATAAAAAGAATTAATTGGTTTAATAAAAAACACCTAAAACTAAATAGAGTAACATTTTTCCATATGAGATTTATAAGTAATTTTTCCTAAAATTTTCCACGCAATAATTTTTTTACTAAACAATGATTTTCCTTTTTTAAATGTATCAGACAATAATTACTCTACAATAGATCATATGTTAATGGTTGTGGAAATTACCAATTAGGATGAAAGATAGCAAATAATTAAAAAAATATGATGGGTGTGTAACTTTTTATGTGCAAATAATTCATATAAAAAGTTCCACCGTCCCTTCTTGTTAGATTGTAAACATTTTTGAAAAATGTTCAACGCTTCAAAAAATTTGTTAAATTTGTAATCAATTTTTTCATATGAATGTCTTTTAAAATAAACAATTCAATTTAACTCATTGAGGGGGAAAAAAAAAATCGAGAAAACACTTTTCAGAAAATTCTACTTTCTTATTTTTCGTGTTTTTTTATTTTTACTGAATTTTTTAATATTTTAAGTATTTTTTTTTACTTTTTAGACACACCTAGCATAAATATACTTAAAAAGTAAAAAAATTGTAAAAAAAATCTTTTAAAAATTCACTAAATACCAAAAATATAAAAAAAAATACGAAAATTCAGTACATTTTTTATGTTTCTATGTATTTATTAATTTTTTAAAATATTTTTTCACAATTTTTTTACATTTAGATACATCTAACTAAGCTGCATCTAAAAAAGTAAAAAAAATATTTAAAATTTAAAAAATATATATTCACTAAAAACAAAAGAATACGAAACTAAAAAATTCAGTTTCAAAAAAACTTAATTAAAAAAACTCAAACCAAACACAGTGGCACTTTTTTACATGATATCATGAATCAATAAAAAATTATAAATAAATTAATTGGACAAGTCTTAATTTTCATTAATCCAAAAATATAGTATTTCTTAATTCAATGCAAGATTGTTTATTGAGCTTTGATACAATTACAAACTAAAACAATTAATTATTTTACTATTCATGTGTAAAATAATTAATAATTTAATTTGTATTTATTTATTTATTAGATGATATTATTATGGGGTAATTGCACTCTAGTGAAATTTTAGAAAAACAAATTACATATTTATAAAAATATATATATAATTTTAATTATTAATATTTATAAAAATTTCTTACTGATTTATAATTATATTTTAAAACTACACTGATTTGATATTTCTCCTATCATTATTTTATTTAATATTTAAACCTTCTTTGTAAAATAAAAAATGGGTAAATTATAAATACATCCCTTAAGATTTGTTTAAAATACAGATTACCTCATATGGTTTGAAAAATTACAAATATCCCCTTGTTAGAATTTTTTTATTTAACAGAATTAACTAAAAAAATGAAATTCATAATTGCTCTCCTATACAATAATAAAATTACCTAAATTATTAATTGAAACATATTTCTAATATCAGTAAAAATTGTTAATTGACTTAATAATTTATTAATAAAATGAGGGATTTGTTATGAAATTAAAACCTCAGGAGATGGAATATAATTTCCAAAATCACAGAAGACGATTCGTATTTTAATCAAATCTCAGAAGGTATATTTGTAATTTATCCATAAAAAAATTAACTAAAAAATCAAAATTAGTTATGAAGTCATTTTGGATAAATTACACTGACACCCCTGAGATTTTTGTTTAATATAGATCCTTCCCTCACATTTTAAAAATTGCATTCCTCTCCCTAAGGTTGAAATCTCATTACAAATTACACCATGGATTGCTGATGTCATATCCTAAAAATTTTTAAACGACAATTTTGCC